TTTTGAGATCCCTGCGTGTTGCAGCATGCATGAATGGTTCATTCCTTTTTATTGCTGAGTATTATTCATACCACAGCGTGTTTATCCATTCACCTGCTGATGGGCACTGGGTTATTTCTAACTTGGGACTATTACAATGAAGCTGCCGAACATTCATGTACAAGTCTTTGTATAAACATATGCTTGCATTTATCCTGGATAAACATCTAGAATGGAATGGCTGGATCATATGGCAGGTGTACCTTTACTGGTAAAATGTTAAGAAACTGCAAAACTGTTTTTCCAGGGTGTTTGTATGATTCAACAGTCCCACCAGCAGTGTATGAAAGTTCCGGATCCTCCACATCCCCATCAACATTTGATATGCAGTCAGACTTTATACTGTTACCATTTCAACAGTTGAGGTTTCTCACTGTGGTTTTAATTTGCATATTCCTGCTGACAATGAAGTTGAACATGTTTTCATGAGCTTATTTGCCCTCCATGAACTTTTTTTGGTGAAGCATCTGTTCAAATGTTTTGCCCATGTTTTTTTTGTTTGTTTGTTTTGTTTTGTTTTTTGTTTTTTTGTTTTTTTTTCCCCCGCCCCCCCCCCCCCCCTCCGGCCTTGCCCATGTTTTTAAGTTGGGTTTTTTAAATTGAGTTTCATGTCTGATGAAGGACACAAGTCCTTCATCAAACATGATTTATGAATATTATTAATATTTTCTCTCAGTTTTTTCATTCTCTTAACAGTGTTTCATAGAACAAAAGGTTTAGTTTGATAAACCCAATTTATCAATCTTTTAAATGCATAGTGCTTTTGGTGTTATAGCTAAGAAATCTTTGCCAAACTCAATGTCATAAGTGCTTTCACCTACGTTTTCTTCTAGACCTTTTATTATAATTTTAGGTTTGATATTTAAGCCTATAATCCATTTGAGTCCATTTTTGTATATTGTGTATTGTGTGAGGGTTTGGTTTGGTTTTGTGTTTTTGGGCATAGGGATATATAATGTTCTAGCAGTATTGACTGAAAAGATAATACTTTCTCTACAGAATTCCCTCTGCACCTTTTTGAAAATTAATTGTCTTTATGTATGTGGAGATACATCTGGTCTCTCCATTCCATTCCACTGACCTATTTGTCTATCTTTAGAACAATATCATACCATCATGATTACTGTACCTTTATCATAATAAATCTTGAAGTCAGGTAGCATTAGGCCTTCAACTTCATTCTTACCCCACCATCAGTTTTCAGGATTCCTCTCTATTCACACTCCTTCCTTCACTCATTTCATTCAGTCCCAAGATATGGAATATCATCTGTACACTCACTTATATTTCAGCTCTGACCTTTTTCAGACTTACACAATATATATTTTTATTTGACATTTCCATAAGGATTACTAATAGGCATCTCAAATAGCATGTCCAAAAGCAAATTCTTGATTTTCGTCCCCTAACCTTTTCTCTTTCCTCATGCCCCATCTCAGTAAACGGCAATAGTGTTCACTCTGTTGCCTATGTCAAAACCTTTCATTACCCTTAGTTTATCTCTTTTGCTCTCACCCCGTTTATAATCCATCTGCAAATCTGGGGAGTCACATCTTCAAAATCCAACTACTCTTACAAATTCTATGGCTCATTCTGTACCAAACCAACCTCATCTTTCACCTGGACTACTAACGCAGTTTCTTAACTGGTTTATCCATAATATGTTCTCCCCATAACAGCCATAGTGTTACTCTTAAAACGTAAGTAATCCTGGTGGGCATTTTTTTTTTTTTGCAGAAATTTATGAGGTGATCCTGAAATTCATGTGGAATTTCAAGGGATTCTAAATATCCAAAACAATCTTGAAAAAGAAGAACAAAGTTGGAAGACCCATACTTCACAATTTCAAAACATACTACAAAGCTACACTTTTCAAGACTGTGTGATAATGGCATGAGGATGTTGCTTAATATTATAGAATAAAAATCCAGACATCAATGGTCAATTGCTTTTCAACAATGCTGCTCAGATAATGCAATGGGGGAAATAGTCTTTTTTAAATAAATGATGCTGGGACAAGTGGATACACAGGTGTAAAAGAATGCATCTGGACCCTACCTCACACCATTTACAAAAAAATTAACTCCAAATGGATCAAAGATCTAAATATAAGAACTAAAACTGTAAAAGTCTTAGAAGGAAATGTAGATGTAAATCTTCACATCCTTAGGTTAGGCAATGATTTCTTAGATAGGATACCAAAAGAACAAGTAATTAAAGAAAAAATAAATTTGGACTTACTCAACATTAAAAACTTGTGCTACAATAAATACTATCAAGGCAGTGAAAAGACAACGTATAGAATGAAGGAAAAAAATCTGCAAAGATACAATTAATGCCATTTGTGCCAGCCAAACCCAAGGACAGATGAAGTCAGGGGAACAAATAACTAACTAAATAAATAAATAAACAAACAAACAAACAAATAAATAAATAAAACAATTAGAGCCAGACAGACTCAAAATAAAAGTAAAGCAGACCAAAGGATAATCCCAAACTCCCCTATACACTCATTTTGATGCACCAGCATATTAAAAATGCACCTGGAAAGCTGATGAATATTTTGCTGAAACCCTCCCCTAAGATTCTCGCCCACAGAAGAGAGATAAGACCCTCAGGACAAAAAACACCAGCGTGGGCTTGCTTTAGAGCACGCCCATGCCTCTTCTTGGGCATGAACTTTTTACTTCCTCCTAAACTCTGAGGGTCCCCATGAGACTTGCAACCAGGGAGCAGCGGGCAGCAGCAGCTCATCCTGTGCTTACTCCCTGGCCCTGTCTCCAGTGAGCTAACAGCAGCCCCACCTGGGCTCACTTCTGTCCTATAAGGTTTCTAGGGAGGCAGAGCAGAGCACCACCTAGGCTCTCCCCTGTTGCTTCTTCTACCCTAAGTCTTTCCTTTGCTTCACTGTCCCCGGGTTTATTAAATGTTCTCTCAAAATCACCTGGACTCGTTTTGTGAAATCTTTCCTGTAAGACGTCAAGAACCCACACACCACATGCCAGCCTGAGGCAGACCCACTCCGGACAGGTCCCCATCAGGTAACAAAAAGTCCGAGTCTATGAAACAAGGTTAATATTAGAGGTTGAGACTTCCATCTCTGCCAGATGCTTTAATTGTCAGAAAGGATACAGATTTGGATATCCCACCACTAAAATAAAACAACATTATATGTGGAATCTTACTCAAATTTATCCTAGGCTATTCCATTAGGCAAGGATTCATCAAGATACTCTAATGCCTTGGACAGGTTATCAATTAGTCTCAATTTGGCATTGAATTAAATCAACATCAATTACCCTTAATTTGAAAATAATAAATTTGAAAGTACTGTTTTTTTTTTATTATGAACATGTCTAAAACAAAATACACAGGAAAGCAGAGAGTAATTCCACTTAAATCAGTATTTTTTTCCACCTGGGAAACAGAGCACTGAACAATGAACCTTTTATGATCCCATCCCTAATATTTAGACAAGAAATTATCTTGTAATCTTAAAGGAAGGTCAAGGTCACCACTGTTCCCCACGCAAGTCCAGCCATCCTAAATTGGATGACAGAAAAACAAACATTACTCCAAACTCCACATTCCTCTCTAGGTGAAGAAATGGCCTTGGGTCAAAAAAAAAAAAGAACTGCTAAAAGAATCTACCATTCTTAAACATGGCTCTCCCTCCCATTTATTCCTCATAACAATAGAAAGAAGTAAAAATCAAGAGGCAAAAACAGAGCTCAGAAGATAGAAGCCAAGTGTCTATTTTTTTCACAATCTGCCCACACCTTAAATAAACATGAAACATTACAACTAGAGTTAGTCAGATACTACAGGAAGCAGAAAGACTAAAACAAAAACCTCAAATATCCGGCCCTCATCTTTCTTCTACATGAAATCTACTTTGCTTCCTGCCTATATTTCCTCACAAGAAGTTAAAATCAGATATGATGTTATATAATGACCAGGCCCATACTATCTTTATAAAAATTAAGTATTTTTCTTATAAGCACTAACCCACATATCAGAAAAATTATGGCCCTAGCCGGTTTGGCTCAGTGACTAGAGCATCGGCCTGCGGACTGAAGGTTCCACGGTTCGATTCTGGTCAAGGGTGCATGCCTGGGTTGTGGGCTCAGTCCCCAGTAGGGAGCCTGCAGGAGGCAGCCGATCAATGATTCTCTCTCATCATTGATGTTTCTATCTCTCTTTCCCTCTCCCTTTCTCTCTAAAATCAATAAAAATACATTTTAAAAAAGAAAAATTATGTTTTATCAGAGGGGACAAAACCTAGAAATTGTTTGTACCTATATACAAGCAAGAAGACATATATAAGGTTCAATGTGAGTGTATATTCCTTTAGACTTTAAAAAAAAATGCCTGTATGTGCGAATAATTATGGTGGGGTTGGGTCAGCGTATTTATAAAGTTCTTTGAAATCTAACATCTTTCTTGTTGTCCAAAGCAACAACCTCAGGAGAAAACAAAAGAATCCTGGTGAGCAGAACATCAGCAGCCGAGGGTGCCTTTCCTCTCAGGCACAGGCAGGAAGCAAGTGAAAGGGGCCAGATCCCCATGACCTTCCCCAATGCACCTGCTTTACTTCCCAGCCTTGACCCCCATGGCCATCAGTCCAACTCTCCTTTTAACCGGCATGCCTGGTTGACCTGGCCTTTCCGATCACTCGCTGCAGTACAGTTACTATGGTTACCTACGCATCTGCAGGTGGCTCTGGAGTTTAAGAACCACGTTCACTGCTTTAGTTTGAATTGCCTTACCAAACTGTCATGTGGGGAGGAAAGGTAAAGCCATCCTCATTTTACAGATGAGGAATCGGACTCAAAGAGGTACACGACCCTGTATGAGAGTCAAGAGTTAATACATAGCAGAGCTAGGCCTCAAGCCACCATTTCATCTTTCTCCTCAATGGGACGTTTTTTTTGAAAAAGTAAGTTAGGGTCACCTCTTACCTGCTCAATCTCCCATCCACCACGCACTCTTCAAACCCATTTCGCTCCAACATTCCCCTCACTCCTGAATTGGAATGGTTTGTTCTGGGGCCTGTGGTGAGGATGGTAGTTTCCCATGAATTATGTATATTAAGGATGACATACTATATATATATATATACACACACACACACAACACACACACACACACACACACATATATATATAGTGTCCACCCAAAAATGTATACACACACTTTGAATAATTATAAAGGCACGTTTCATTTTCAAAACTGAGCTATCAGCTGTTGAAGTGTGTGCACATTTTGGGGGGCACCCTGTAACAAGGGTCTCCGTCCATCACTGCAGCTGGGGGCTTCCCCACTTCCCCTGACACACAGGCATTCCTCCAGGGTTGTAACACTAACAATTACGAGTCCAAAGATCATACAATAGGGATCCCAGGCCCAACTAAAGCCAAGTACGAAACTGCAAGGGCAGTCGTTCAAGGACGCTGCCTGGGTTTCCAGGGGGAAATATCTGACTTGCAGACTCCGCTAGAGTCTTCTCATTTCCCACCAGGTGTCTGTGGGAAAAAAGAAAAAAAAAAAAATCCACCACTCCCATCAAGGCCAGGATGCCAGCCTATCTCGCCCCTGGGAGGGATTTCTGACAACTTCAAGAACAAGCGCGAGCCACCGGTGCGGGGCCTGCCCGAGGTGCGGCGCCACGGCCCCTCGCCGGGTTCAGAAAAGCAAAATCGTGCACCCTAGAAACTCAACAGCCACATGTCAGCTGCAGACCGGCTACTTTTTGAGACAGAAAACAAAAACAAGCTACTCCCGAGAGCTTCCCTAGCGGCCCACAAACCCCTCCCACCTTGAGCTTTTCCAAGATTCGCTGAGCCACAATTACCCAAGACACTCGCGGCAGGAAGTGCAGTTAAGCCGATGGCAGTACGATGCATCCTGGGACTTGTAGTCCGCGTTCAGAATGCGCAGGCGCAGCGGTGAAGGCGTGGGGGGGGCACCTGGGAGCAGAGCCCCACGGGGATTGTAGTTTCTCATCAATTTACATATTCTGTTTTAAGGATGTCAGAAGTCAGGTGGTGCATTTAGGAGATTTCTCATTTCAGACAGCAAGGGTGCTCTCAATGCATGCCTGTCGGACGGGGAGACTCGGTTTGAGACCGGTGTGTGTACACACAGCCTTCATTCGACGAGATCTGACATGGACTGAGGTAGCCCCCAAGTGGAGAGTGGGCAAAGGACAAGCCACACAGTCTACCTGTCAACAGGACTATGGAACCATGAGAAAATACTGTAGAATGAAGGAAAGGAACCCTTCCAAAGACTCAGAAAAAGAACAGATGTCAGTATCATTCACCTCATGCATCAGAAGAATGTTTTTGAGAAATTTTGACCTCTCCAGGAAAGATACCAAAAAATTATGTATATGACGAGCAGGCTAATGAACGTATAGCACAGTCTGGAAGAATATGTAGTAATTGTTAAGATTAATTTCCTTTGAATGAGAGGTTACTTTGTTTCACCCTTTTATGTATTTTCTGGAATGTTTACAAGGGCTAAGTAGTCTTTGGGGGGATAAAATATTTCGAATGTGAAGAAAAGTATAAAGAGCAATTTAACACTCTGGAATCTACCACAAAGCTTCATCATGTTTAGTTTAGGTCTTTCCTTCCGTTTTCCTTCCTCCTTTCTCCCTTCCCTCCTTCTTTCTTTCCTGCATTAAAAGAAAAATAATTATGGGGGGGGGGGAATCCCTTTATAAATATGTAGTCCTTTTTCTTCTGCAGAGAACTATACTTATCTATCTATCTACATGTATATATATATACTTTCTGCAGAATATTTATATATATGTCTGTGTATATCTACATACATATGTGTACATATTGTGTTTTTCAAATAATGATGTTATATGTACTGTACATATCATTCTACAATTTGCTTTTCTCACTGCTCTGCAACCTGTTTTTTAGATTTATCAGAAAACACAATACATGTAGTTCTAAATCATTCATTTTAACTTCTATATACTATTGCGTTGTATGACAATGACCGTGTAATTATCTAACTTGATAAAGGACATTTACCCCATTGCAAGTATTTTACTCTTACAAAGAATATTGTTATGACATTCTTAAACAAATGTGCAAGAGTTTCTCTGGGGTATTTACGTGTGAGTGAAATTGCCAGGTCTTGGCAGTATACCTATTTTCAGCTTCACCAGATGCTGCCAATTGCTCTACAGCATGGTCGAACCTCTTTCAACTCTACCAAAATCCCAGCAATAAAATAATTTATAAGTTTCGACTCGCTCGCTCTTCTGAGGAGCAGGATGAAGTCTTGTGCCATCCCACCCTGAACATGACCATCGCTTTGCCCAGTGTCTCCATGCTGTAGATACTTCCCGCCCATTAGTCAGCAGCCACTGCAGTGATCAGATCCACTGTCACGCTATCTTAGAGGTTGTGTTCAAGTGACTCTTATTTTACTTAATAATGGCCTCCAAGTGCAAGAGTCATGATGCTGGCAATCCAGATGTACCAAAGAGAAGCTGTTGTAAACTGTGTATTAGGTGAGAATTTTACAAGCATTATTTATATCAGCGGTAACGGTGGAGCTGGAGAGTATGGCGCCTTCTCCAAGCTGCACTGGCGAGACCCACCAATAGTGGTGGAACTGGGGGCCCTTCCCAAGGCCATGGCTCTTGCATCTCCCTGTGCTTGTGGACTGGCTTGGTGATCCACTGGGTGTCAGGATTTCTTCTGATAGCCATATGGAATGGTTCAATGAGGAAAACCTCAAAGAATTTGTAGGTGGAATCTTCACCAACCCAGGAAGAATTCAGAACCCTCACAGCCCCACAGTGACATCCAGCTTGCTCCTCGGCAACAGACTGAAGACTCTGAGCAAACTTTAGCTGGTTAACACCATGATGGACAGGCTTGCCTTAGGCACAGGGTGTCTGCGGCCACCACCAATCTGATATATGACATAACCTTGCTGGGCCTTGTATCCCAGCTTGGGTGCTTTGTCGGGCCAGGTGGGGGAAGGCTGTGGAGCGCAGAGAGCTGGCGGCACTGCCAGCAGCGCACCCTGAGAAGGAAGCGCGTCACATCGGACTGCTGCTTCCTCCATCGCTCCTAGATGTACTTCAAGCGCCCACCTGGGTTTACCTGGTGGCTGCGCCAGGCGGGAAGGAAGAGCCAGGGGACCTTTTCTTTTCAGTTTATAATGTAAAGACCAGATGATGCTAGTTTTGGGGGCGGGTGAGGAGGACCTGAGGGTATATTATTGTGTTTTGTCTAAATTTATATGTACTTGAAATTCTTCATAATAAAAACTATAAACTATCCTCCCCTACGCTCCCTCCCCCAGCTGTCTGCCTGCTCTCTATGAGTCTGTCTCTATTTTACTTGGTAGTTCAGTTTGTTCATTAGATTCCACAGATGGGAATGTTGGGGGTGAGTGGAGGGATTGAAAAAAAAAGGAAAAAACTCATGGACAAAAGTGTGGTGACTGAGGAGGGAGAGAGGTGGGTGGAGGTGGAAGAGGGTATGGGGGGGATAAATGATGATAGAAAAAATAAAATAATAAAAAATATAAACTAAAAGAAATTTAAAATAAAAATAAAAAACAAGTAATCACCAGGAATGTTTCCCCCTTTTATGAATCTCCCTATTGCTAAGATCTTACATGTAGGTCTTTAATCCACTGTGAGTTGATTTTGTCAATGGATTCAATTTCTGGTAAGTATTTTCACATGGCTAAATCGGTTCCTCCCCTTTGCCATTCAATTTCTGTGGTTGCCACTTTAACCTCCACAGTCAATCTTTTTTTCTAAATTTTCTTCTCTTCTCGTAAGATTCATCTTTGCCTAAAACAGGGCCCATCTCTCTTTGCTTTGCCCCCCACATCTCCTACCATCCCAGACAGGCATGGCCGCTGGTGCTCCCTGCCCCCTCTGCAGCCAGCATGCGTCACTGGGAACAACTTCACAAGCAATATTCTGAGGTGCAACCCTCAGGTACTAATTCTCCTGCTTTTAGTCATTCACACGCTTCATTCACAGAAATGTTGAGTCAAGCACCGTCTAATTACTGACCTAGATAATATCCCTAGATTTTTAAAGATAATACAAAGTTTATTTTAGGAACAACTGTGACTCATCACAGAAGCTAATGAACTTGGGAATTCTAGAAAATTACTCAAGCATATAAAGCCAGTTTCCAAGATTTCGTTTTCTTAGTTCAAGGTCACAAAAATTGGAACATGGTGGGAAATGACATCCATCCCTCATTTGCCTGATGTCTAAATAATTAAGAGCTCTAAATCAAGCTAACAAATTGTTAATTGAAAAAGTGTTCCCTTGCCCTAACTGTTTGGCTCAGTGGATAGAGAGTCGGCCTGTGGACTGAAGGGTCCCGGGTTCGATTCTGGTCAAGGGCACATGCCTGGGTTGCAGGCTTGATCCCCAGTGTCGGGTGTGCAGGAGGCAGCCAATCAATGATTCTCTCTCATCATTGATGTTTCTAGCTCTCTCTCTCCCTCTCCCTTCCTTTCTGAAATTAGTAAAAGTATATTTTAGAAAGAAAGGAAGGAAGGAAGGAAGGAAGGAAGGAAGGAAGGAACTGGGTTCCAAACTTCTCTCATGCCTGACCTCTCTATCTTGTTTTTTTGTTTGTTTGTTTGTTTGTTTGGTTTGTTTTGTTTTTAAGTGCTCTCTTCTCCTAACTTCCCAAAGGCTGTGGTTGAATTTAGAATTCTCAGACTCCTTGGTACAATAACGTGGTGACAGAGGGAGAGCTGGCCCCCAACCCTGGGCAACACCCTTCCTTTTACTCTGTTCCTCACTTGAGGAGCCTCCCATCCCCTTGTGTGGACCCCCGAAGCCCCATGCACACTCCAGCCACACACCTTCCCCCGCTTCACACTGCAGCACCTGTGTACCCTTTGAGCGAGCACAGCCCGCCCTTTGAAGATGGACCCCAGGGAGACGCCATGTAGGCTCAGGGCCACGTGGACAGGGCCCTGCGTACCCAGAGTTGGTCTAGAACAGAGGGAGCAAGGTCCAGGCAGGAAGGGGTACAATCAGGGGAAGACCAGAGAGGTGCTCTCTGAAGCACAGGGTACAGGCAGGGGTCCTCTTGCCCAAGTCAACTGCTCAACCCTCTCAGCCCACCTTCCCCTTCAGCCTCAGCCACAGTGGACAGTTCCGGGGAAATGTTTCCTTGTGCTGCCAGCATCCTATCCTACCTCAAACTCAAGCTCTGCCCCAGAGCATCTCCAACATTGTAGGATTCCTACCACCACCATAGCCACCACCCTACACACACACACACACACACACACACACACACACACACACAAATGCAGCCCAAAAACCTCAACTCATACAGGACAGGAGCAGGCAGGCAAATGCTCAAGCCTACCATTGTTTCACATAGACAATTCTGGAAAGCTTTTAAGATCCTGGTAGAAAACAAGCCCACTGCTCACTGGCAGCAACCTCACTAACACACCCTCCCCTCTGCGTGTCCTCCTCGCCGGTCTCACGCCCCCTGCTGTCTGGCTCTTGCGTCCTGGAATCACTTCCCAAATAAAACACCCGCACCCAGGTCCTGCCTCTGTTTTCAGGGCTTCTGGGAAGAAGAAAGGGACAGACCTGGGAAGTAACAAGTCCAACCACATCACCGGCACAGTCTCCCTGGTGCCCTGCATCAACAACCATTTAAGAACTTTTCTTGAGGTGGAACTCTTCTCCACACATTTGTTTGGGGTTGGTTTGTTTTTTAATTTGAGAAGGTGGTCCCTTTGCTCTTTCCTCTATTTTAACGTCCAAATTCCCTTTACAAAATCTCGCTTTAATGGTTAAAATTTCCCAAATTAACTGTGGCCTGTTGGGAGGTAGGATGGAGGAAG